CTTTTATTTTCAAAGATTTTCTTCACTGTTTTTCCCTGCATAGATTTTTTTCTTTCCTGTAAGGCACAATGTTTAAAACAGTCCAAAGCAGTATGAATATGTATTTGTATTTAACGTTTGTGCTAGAAAATACTTTTTTGTTTTCCTCACGGGATGCAGTACCATCTTAAGAGATGGCTAAGTTTCTTGTCTTTGATATGTGGGCAAATAAAGACCCAGTAATATCTACAATTTGTAGAACTTCTAGAAAGAGAATTCCTCCACACTAAATCCATTCATTCTTTCATTCACACGTATTTGAGAGTCTTATATGTATCAGGAGCTGTTGTAGGTGTTACAGGAGCAGCAGTGAGCAAGACAGGCAAGGTCCGAGTTCTCATGGGGCTCTCAGTGTAGTGAGAAATGGACAAAAAGTCAGATGTTAAAAGATGGGACACGTTCTCTATATATAATTAAAATGGGATAATGGCTAGAGGGAATGAACGACTACTTCAGATTAGGTGGTGAGGAAAGGCCACGTTTAGGACTTGACAGTTTTAGGCAGGGCTCTGAGGAGACCCATCCTTGAGGAGGGAGGGGAGTAGGCAGAGCATTTTAAAGCTGGTGTAAACCCCTGAGGAAGAAACAAAAACCGGCAAGAAGAGCTGGTGTGCGGTTGGTGGTGGGAAGAGAAAATTGGAAGGTTAAGCAGGGTCCAACTGTGTAGGTCTTTCTAAGTCATGGTTGGAAATTGGGAGCTTTCTGTGACAGCTCTGGTCAAGCTCTAGCTGGCTCTTTCTCAGCACAGCTTTTAAATACTGGAATCCTCAGATTTTTGCCCTGGGCCCCTTTCTCTTTCAATATTCTTTAGATCGTCTCATTTAGGCTCACGGTCTTAAAAACTTTATGTAACCATTGCTCATAACTGTGCATCTCCAACCCTGGCATTAATCCTTCCCTAGCTCCAGACTCTTGTATCCATTTGCCTACACAGTCACTCCACTTGGATTTCAAATGGGCATCTCAAATCTAACATGGCTGAATACCTGCCCAGTTGCTTAAGTAACAATCTAGGGCTTATTCTTGATTTCTCCATTTCTGTCACCACCACCCCAGTCCAATCCATCAGCAAGTCCCGTCAACTGTCTCCAAAACATATCTTGGATCCATCCACTCCTCTCCGTGTCCACTACTTCCACTCAGTCCAAGCCATCATCATCCTTCACCTGGACTCCTGCAATAATCTCTTACTTGGTGTCCTTGCTTCCACTCCTGCCCTTCTGCAATCACTGACAGCACCCAAAATGATCCTTTTAAAAACAAAAATCAGAATGTCACTCCCTACTTAATGTCCTCTCATGGCTTCTTAGAAAAATAAATCCAGGGACTTCCCTGGTGGTCCAGTGATTAAGTCTCCGCACTTCCACTGCAGGGGGTGCACGTTTGATCCCTGGTCAGGGAACTAAGATCCTGCATGCTGCATGGTGTGACCAAAAAAAAAGGAAAAATAAATCCATAAACTCAAACTCATTAAGTTTCCACAGTGGTTATTGTTAACAGAGAAATACTAAAAATCAGCTTGGAAAACAATGCATGAACCTTTTTAAAATGAAAAAAATATCAGAGAAGAGGAGCAAGCTTGCTAAAGAATAGAAACCCTTGCCAAAGGCAGCTGTCAAGGAAGTGCAAGCCCACAAACACTCTGAGTTCAAGAGGAAGGACTGTGATATGAATACGAGAATTCCGGAGCTATCAGTCTCAGGGACAGTCTTAAGAGAGACAGGGTTCCCATCATTACATCCCCAGATTTAACCACAGCTGCTCAGCTTTGATCTATTTATCTATTGATGTTCTTAGGAAATGTCAATACCAAAACAAATCCAAATGACAACTACATTAGATTGCTGTTGAAGAGAATGAGTCTCCATTGAATTTGTGCAAAATGGGATACCCAACAGAACTGGAAAATCTTAGACCATTGGAGATGTAAAGACCAGAATCAAGGAAATATGGGTAATATTTGTTATTTACTGTGAGGGAGAAACTTCCACTGAGATCCCAGTTGCCTCCAGCTGCATTGTGCTCAGCTGTGTGCTCTGGACTCATTAATTAATACAGAGGTATTTTCTAGCCCTTCCAGCATCTTTCTTCCAAATTCTCTTTGCTTTCCTCAAACCCTCTTGGTTGGTATAATTTAGCCTCCAACCCAGATGTTACAAACTGAAGGCTGAATTGCCCTTTCACACATGTGCTATTTGTCCTTGACAATGTTTTGGTGTATTGTTCTGTTTGTTTTGTTTTTAAACATATTCGTTGCAATTTAAAAATGAGATTTAAAATTAAAATCTGCATTTCCACCTTCTCTTTTAAAGTTGGCCCTTTCAAGAACCCTGAGTCCATATCCTTGAGTGGCAGCTTGTGGAGGAAGCCGAGTGACTCCACCTGTTGGGCGGCTGTACCCTTAGGGCAGGTACTCTCTGGTTTGCTCTCTGCTCCATCACCCCTAAGTGTCTCCCTGATGGAGACACAGCTAAGGGTCAGTTGTCGGTTATAAATATGCTCTCATGGTTGTTTTTTTGCCTATTTTGACCCATTTTACTCACGTACCCTCCTGGTCCTATAATTATTTGAGATTGGGACTCCAATTCTAACCTTTGTCTCTCAGCTTATTAAATGGAATCTAATTTCTTTCCTATCACTCATTACTCTGCTGCTGACTATGTGAAGTCTCTGGGTGAACTGTTGGATAGAATCCAGAATCATCATTTGGCAGAGGATATAGTATAGTGACTTAACTTCCAACAGCCTCCAGAAAACTTGGCTGGGAGCTTCCAGCTAAAACATAGGCTACATGTTTTAGACATCTTAATTCATACTGCACCTAAAGGCATAGAAGTCCTTTTAAACAATCACATTTGATTTCTCCCTTGCTCCCCATATCCAGTTGGTAGCCAACTCTTCTTGGTTCTATAGCATCTTCAGGCTTTGTTACTGCCTATCTGGATTTGCAGTAGCTTCTCAGCTGGTGTAAATTTAGTTACTGCCCCAATCAACACACTCTAACACAGCTTCTTTCTAAATTAGACTTAATTATATCATGCATCACAACTACCCAAATAGAAAATATCAATAGATATGCTTAGAATGAATATGCATGGAATCAAATTCAGATTTAGCCTAACATTCAAAATCTACCCAAACCCTTCTTCAACCTACTTCTCATCTTTTTTTCTCACTCCACCATCCATACACCGTAACTCCAGTCGCTGTACCTGGGCTTTCTCCCCTCCAAGCCATTGCTCATGTTTTTAAAAACATGTCCATTGTTTAAGTCTCTTCCAATCCCAGCTCTTTATGACACCTTTCCAGATCCTCCCAGATGAAATCAATCTTTCCTTCCTCTGTTTTCTTGGGATGTTTCCCCCAGCTCTTATCAGAGTCTGCGTTTTTCCCCAGCTCTTATCAGAGTTATAGTTCCTTGTATTTTTCTCATGCCCTACATTTGAGCCTATGGAGGGCAGGGACCATAATTTACACATCTTTTTATTTCCTCTACCCAGCAGAGAGTTTAGCACAAGTTGAACTGAAACAAATAGAAAATCTGTTTCTTGAAGCAACTTAATGACTTGTCCTTAAAGATCTGGGGCCCAATATAACTTTCAAAGTAGGATTCTAAGCCTCTTTTTTTCCCCAGGATAAAATTAATTTTTTTGTTTAAACAGTTTATATGTGTGAAGTTTTAAAATACTTATTGGGAAGTATACCACATCACCCATACCAATTCTAACAAAAATGAAATAATCTGACAAATGCAGAATGAGGGACATTATATAAGACAGTGCTCCAGGACTGTTAAACAAGTGTCAGTGTTATAAAAACCAACCAACCAAAAATGACAAGGATATCTCTCCCTCCCTCTCCCTCTCTCTCTCCCTCTCTCTCTCTCTCTCTCTCTCTCTCTATATATATATATATATATATATATATATATATATAGAGAGAGAGAGAGAGAGAGAGAGAGAGGGAGAGAGAGACAAAAAGCAAAAGTGGGAAAATATTAGCAATTAGTAAATCTAGATGAAGAGTATAGGGTATTTCATGGTACTATTCTTTCAGTTCTTCTATAGGTTAAAAACTTTAAAATAAAAAGTTGCGGAAAAAGGAAACAGGAAGGAGCTGAAAGGACTAGTTTAATTTCCTAATTATATTCCTTTTAGTCTATTATTAGATAAGTTAATAGCTAAATAGTGAAAACAAAACATTTATTTGGGTATACCTTTATATTTAGGAGTAAAACCAGCTAGGAGTGAACCACATACTTGGTTGTAAGAATTACTAAATCAGAAATGCAGTTTTATTGCTCATTAGAGGGACTTCTCATACTTTATGGTTTCTACTTTCAAAGAAAATAAACTGGAGGAAATGGACGAGGTGCGTATCAAGGAATTTTTTTCACTGCGAGTAGATTTGGAAATATTTAACAAATCCTAACTTTTCATTATCACAAGCCTCGGTATCTATGAAAGTGATTATATTGATTTGCCCTCTTTCTCTAGGTGAAAAAAAACCCCTATATCTTTGCTAGGCTGTAGCTAAATCGATCTGGTTGATAGAGGCAGAGAAATAAATATATTGGTGTAAAAGGACAAATAGGAGATAAGGCCATGTATTTATTGCCCATTTATGTAATTACATGTGTCACTAAGGACAAAGGTCCTTAAAACAAAGACGAAAGGCAGAGTAGAAACAGTTGCCTATAGAAAGAGAGATGGATTTTCTACCACTTCCCTCTTCATGAATTTTTCTTTTGCGTGGTTCCATATCCTTCTGGTTTTATGATCACATTTGAAAACTTAACCATCTTTTTGGGCACAGTTTGATGGCTGAAGATATGCTTCACTCCAATAAGAAAATGAACATTTTTCAAGAGCATTCGTAGGCTTCGAGCTGAGAGGACAGCATTTAGTTCCTGAGGTCTGACAATCATTCTGTGCGGAAGTAACTACCAGGACCACGGCACCATGGATGTGGTAGGCGAAAACGAGGCCCTACAGCAGTTCTTCGAAGGTAAGAAGCCCGTTTCCAACATCTGAGAAATGGTGCTGCTTACTATCACTGTCTCACCTTTTTGGAATTCACTTGGGCTTTGAAAGAAATACTATTGTACTAAATGTCGTGAAGTCAGAAGTGCAGGTTTATTTGCTGTGTTTGTAGCAAAAAATCAATGGTATAGGCAGTGATTTTTAAAAATTCAGGATTTCCATCCTGAATTTTAGTTGTTAACAGCTTAGTTGTTAAAAGAATCAAGAGGTCAGCATAACTATGTTATTAGAATTTGTTCGTGTCCTGTGCTAGATTTTTTTTCTAATCCCTATGTTTCATAAGACTGGATTTTTCTTATCTCTAAAATTACTGAATACAACACAGGAGAAATGTAAGAGTTTACTTAAGATGGTTTTTCTGTTAATATAATTAAATACAAAACAGCCTAACAGTAAAGGAACACCTCTTCCCCCATTCCGTTCTTTGTTTTTCACAACACTTTAAAAATGTGTAACTATTGAATGATGATTTTTTTTGAGGTTAAATATATTTTTCCCCAAGCGAAGGCTTACTATAGGACATGGTTACAAAGATTTCTTTTCCTAAGAACCTGAAATAGTGGTACCACTTCTCATATTTAGTTGGGTTGAGATTCTCATGGTGGGTCTGCTGAAAATGTCAGGAAAGGCTTGCCTTCTTGTGACACCTTTTAGGGAGCCATTGGGAGACTGCATGTTAGTGCAGCTACAGTTCCTTATCAGTTCGTCATGCTCAGACTTCCATGGGAAGGGAAATGTTTCCAGAGCTTTTTGCACATTTCCAGGTATTTCCCAGGAGGGAGCATGAGAATAATTGAGCGCAGACCAGCTCACTCACAGAATCTAGAGGGCAGTTAGCAGCTTATTGAGAAAGTGCTTTTGGCATTTCTTGTGATTAGTAAAGTGCCTGACAAATACTAGACGTTTAAAGACTGAATGGAATTGACCCAACACCATATTGTATCGAACACTAAAGAGTGTTTATGTCAAAGAAACAGGTCACTATCAGAAGGAATTAGTACAATACAGTAGGTTCTGTGGCTTGGTTTTTGCCACATGGGATAAGAAGGAATATGAGACCTAGAGAATTATTATGTTATTTCAGCCCTATGGTCCATCCCATCATGTTCTGTCTCTGACAGTGCCCAAGTCAGTGTGTCCACTTGGGTTACACAGTAGGCACACTAATGTTGCTTGATTGTTGTTGCCTGATTTTATATCCTATGTAACTTTCATTTGAGCAGTAGGTAGCAAGCTCCAAGCTACAGTTATATCTGCTTTATTTTAGAGAAACCACCAATTGATTTTATAAATACACAAAATCTACTTGGTTTCTTTCCAGAGCTAGAGAAGACCTGAAAAGTTCATCTGGTCTACCTTCTGTTTTTTGGAAGTGCTGTTATACCTATAGGGTCACTTATACTGTCCTTGTTTATGCTATTTTCAGAAGTCTTTGGGGATATAGTTTCCACAAGTCCTCTGTATAGCTGATTACAAAATCTGATTTATTATTATTATTATTATTATAGTATCTTTCTTATCCCAAACTAAACTCTGGCTCCTTTTGAAGCCTTTTTAACTAGGGAGGAGTAATTTCTCCATGGAAAGAGAATAAAATGGTCAGTGTACATTATCTTTGAATGAATAAATGGAAAAGGTGGTAAGCTTTGGAAATAGAAAATGGAAGCACTAACTTAAGTTATTCCCCTCCCCCTGAAAGTCACACAGCTGGTTGTCAATTTTTTATTATCTGTTTAGCAAATATCGATCACTGACGGTGTGCCAAGTCCAACAACCACATCTTTTAAATGATAGCCTGGAGGGCTTTGAGACGTTTCCTTTAGATTATGATTTCCTTTCTCAAATATTCCTTAGAATGAGGACAGCAAGACTGGATCTGATATTCTTATGAGGAGGGCCAGTTGTTCTCCTGTCGATACGTCAGCTTCTAATTAAGGGCAAACTCATATAAAAAATCAAGGTCTGAAAAGCAAGAAAAGTTTTTGTAATTTATTACCCACCTGAAAGCTATTTTTTCTTTGCTTTCTCAGACTCTTCATTCTAAGAATCTGGATCCTAAATAATATATGTTTTTCATATGAACACTTTCGTATTAAAAACTATCTGTACTGACAGTACTGACGAATTAAATGGCCTTGAACATCAGATCTCATGCTGATCATGCTGAATCTTTATGGTGTGTCTCAGGAAGATGATAAGAACAAAGCGTGGTTCCAGGTAGCTGGCAAACCTCATTCTATTGCCTGCCACTGATGCAATAGGTAGGCCCATTAGCTAAAGCAGAAGAGGTGGATCAGGTTCTCTAGGGATCCCAACATCCACTGGAAACTCAGATACTATGTGAAATGTTTGGCTTTTTCAGCAAAGCTGATACCACTGCAAGAGAAAGGTTGTCAGAGGAGAGGCACATTATTTTATTCCTAATAACTAAAAATTGGTTACAACTTAAAATTCTAATAGTGGTAGATTAGTTAAATAGATCATGGTTCTTTCATATAATGGAATATTTTGTAGCTATTAAAAATGACGATGATGGGCTTCCCTGGTGGCGCAGTGGTTGAGAGTCTGCCTGCCGATGCAGGGGACACGGGTTCATGCCCCGGTCTGGGAAGATCACACATGCTGCAGAGCGGCTGGGCCCGTGAGCCATGGCCGCTGAGCCTGTGCGTCCGGAGCCTGTGCTCCGCAACGGGAGAGGCCACAACAGTGAGAGGCCCGCGTACAGAAAAAAAAAAAAAAAATGACGATGATAAGGAAAAGTGTTTATGATATAAAGGGGAAAAGCAGATTACAAATTGGTATCTATAATAGAATTGAATATATATGTATTTTTCTAGAACAAAGTTTATTAAAACTGATCTGAAAACATTTGCTATATATACATACATGCACACCTATATATGTAGAAACAATTGGATGAATACACTACAAGTATCAACAGTAGTTATTTCTTAGTGGTAGGAATATGGGGATTTTTACTTTCTTCTTTATACTTTATTATCTCAGTGCTTCAAAGTTGGAATGCATGATGTCATAGTCAGTTTTTCTTAAATAAAGGAGACTGGGTTTAATTACATAAAACTCCTCTGTCTAAGAGTTTCTTTTCTGTGTAAAGGAAAACTGTATGAAATGGATGAAAAAAAAGATTATTAGGTGTCTTCCATAGAAAACTGTACCTAGATCATGTCCTTTGGGCTGTCAGATTCTATGGGATTTTCACCCTTTATTGTCTTAGAGCTATTTTGAAACTCTGTAAATTGTAGATAATTGATATCAATGCAGTGAATTTTGTCTATAGATATGTAAATGAATTATCTCCTTTTGGGGATCAATAGTTTCAGTAAAATCCAGTTTTCCATTTATTTGTAAATTCATTCCATGGCATAGCCAGATTTAGATTATCTATCTGCTTACCTATCTCTATCTATATACATCTGTCGATCTATCTATATTTATCTGTCTAGGTACCTAGATCTAGATCTGCTGTTTGAATTCTCCTTGAACCACTTGTAACATCTTCCTGCTTCCTTCATGAAGTAAATAAAAATCTTTGACATGTGTTCATCTTACATTTATATGAGTCATGATTTTTTTTTAATGTGCTAGGATTTACATTTATTGAGCTAACATTTATTTTATTTTATTTTTTTAAAGGGAACGCTATTTATTTATTTATTTTTTTTGGCTGTGCTGGGTCTTCGTTTCTGTACAAGGGCTTTCTCTAGTTGCGGCGAGCGGGGGCCACTCTTCATCGCGGTGCGCGGGCCTCTCACTATCGCGGCCTCTCTTGCTGCAGAGCACAGGCTCCAGACGCGCAGGCTCAGTAGCTGTGGCTCACGGGCCTAGTTGCTCCGCGGCACGTGGGATCTTCCCAGACAAGGACTCGAACCCGTGTCCCCTGCATTGGCAGGCAGATTCTCAACCACTGCGCCACCAGGGAAGCCCACGAGTCATGATTTTATCTTTAAAAATATATATCCTTTAACACTAGCCAAGTTTTAAGTTAGTTAACTTTGACTTGGTTTTATCTTAAGTTTGCACCAGATTGATAATGTTTGCTGAGCATTTACCTGCATGAAGCACTGTTCCATTCACTTTACATTCATTACCTCATTTACTTCTTACAACAACCCCCCAGGTAAAAAAGGAATAGAAAATGAAGTATGGAAAATCCCATTCCTCAGTTTACCTCACTTGTTTTCCATAGCTGTGACCTTACATTCTTAATTTGGTTCCTTAAGGGTATTTCTTTGGGGCTACTGTGATATCAAGATTCATCTTTTATTTCCCAGTGTTTTAGGACAGTTTATAAAAACTAATTTGAGAATATTTTATTGTTCATTATATTTAATCTTTAAAAAGAAATTTTCTAAATTGGTGAGAAGCTGTTTAGCTCATCCTCTTCATAAAGTCCTGAAGTACGTTCTCAAATGCTTTTTGGCTTATCACGAAAGCAAAAGAGGAGATGCCTGCCCTGACTGAGCAGAGTGGGAAAAACTACATACAGTTGTCCCTCGGAATCCGGGAGGAGATTGGTTCTGGGATCCCTTCTGATACCAAAACCCCCAAATGCTCAAGTCCCTTACATAAAATGGCAGTAGTATCTGCATATTAACCTATGTACATCCTCTAGTACATGTTAAATAATCTCTAGATTATTTATAGTACCCAGTGCAATGTAAATGCTATGTGAGTAGTTGCTAGCGTGTGACAAAATCAAGTTTTGCTTTTTGGAACTTTCTGGGATCTTTTTTCCCAAATATTTTCCATCCTCGGTTGGTTGAAATCTGCAAATGTGGAACCTGCAGACACAGAGGGCTGACTCTCCTGAAGAGATCACATGAAAGCAGAAGAGAGAAACTAGCTGAAGAAACTCCCACTCACCCACTGAAGTTTGGGAGGTGAGGGGTAGCTCCTAAAACCAGAAGCTGTGGATGGGCAGGAACCACTGGACAGCTCCTGAGA